TTAGGGGTTTGCATCAAGTAGAACCACTTCTCATCAGCTCAATCATTATATCGTCGAACCTCTCACTGTTCAAGGAATCACCTGGAGGTGTTGACCGTTAACAATGTGGCTGGCAGTAAGGAGCGCGCCAGCGTGGGGGTGTAGAGATGCCACTCACCACTCCGCGGAGCACTAGCCACAGGGCTGCTAACGGATCTTATCATTGGTGCCAGTGGGATGGGCTTCATGCGCTCCAAATAAGGCTCAGAAAACCCACGCAAACACGCGACCGGCTCGTCACTGAAAGGAGATCGCCCACCACTCGTGACCTGAGGTCCAGCAACTTTTGGCGCACTACAGTGACGTTCCACGTCGCAGCAGATTCCACATTATCCATGCCTCGTGCTCGGTCGTGTAAGGCGAATCTTTACGTTGTCCTCGGACGGGATACTCACAGACATTCTGGATTACCAGCAACCGGCTGTGACCCGACTGTGATTTACCGTGACTTTTACCTATCAACTACAGTGTCTCACTTTGTACAACAGGTGCACACATTTTTATGTGACAGACATTTGCGATTACCAGCAACCGACTGGTATTTATCGTGACTTTTACTTAACAACTAAAATATCTCACTTTGTGGGACATGAGCACACATGTCCATGTGATTTGCTTGCAATGTTTGCTTTTAGCGGATATTTGAAAATGCTAGTCCAATGAAAAGCCCTGTATGGCATTGCTCCAGAGGCAGAAGGCTGAGATCGTTAGCAACTACCGTAAAGAGCAAAGAGCCGAGTGCTGAAAGATGGCGGTGCAAGTCGTCGTCTCCAGTCGGTGGTTGTGGTCGTGAGTGTGGTCCAGCGTCGGTAACGCAACACCGTCATCGTGTTCCACAGGCGATCCAGTCGGCGCCGTGGCTGCCCAAGATCGGCATCGGCGACGAGACGAAGGAGCAGCACCGTCAGCTGAGCCTGGCCGCGGCCGATGTCATCACCAAGACGCACGCCGACTGGTCGAGCTCAGTTGAGCCGGCCCCGCTTGCAGCGGCGGACCAGCCGCTGCTCACCAGAGGTCTGGAGCGCGCTGGGCTGCATTGAACCCAACTTCGACCGGTCAGCACTGCGCTGCCAGGAGGCGCACCACTGTGTGGACGGCGCGATAACTAGTCACCCTGGTAGCTGCAAAGCAAACTATTCGAAGTTAAGAGTACGCTTGGGCTCAAGATGACCCTAAGAAGTCGACGCCGCCATAAAACCCCCAATCATCATCATCATCTTAAGAGTACGCTACACGTTGCGACGTGTGTTTTTCACTGAATGTGTGCTGTCGCAGTGCATGACCGGTTTCGACCCAGAGACTGGGACGCTTATTGGCTGTGGCGTCATAGTCAGGTGCGTTTCAGGTCATCTTCTGAAGACCCCTCGCATCACAATGCCGTGCTTACAGAAGGCAGCCGGCCCGGTCGCCGCTGTTGCAGACTGATGTGGTCGGGCTGATGGTACCTGGTGCCACCAGGTACCTGCTCAAGCTGTTCCAGGAGGTGTTCTATTGGGAGCGGCTCAACATGGAGATTCCGCCGCAGTGTCATGACGTCTTCCGGCGTCGCGAAGAGATGCGCCACCTGCGCGAGGCCGTCGGGCTGCTCTGCCGCGACTTCTAACCACATCGTCGCTTGTGAGTTGCTGCGCCCAGCTTTCTGCTGAGGCAAGTCATGTCCCGAAGTCCGCGCCATTCGTTCATGGGGGGGGACTTTCCGCAGAAGGAGACGAGGACAGGGACGGAGACAAGGACGGAGACAAGGACGGAGACAAGGACGGAGGCAAGATATACGGAGACAGAGACGGAGACGGATGATTCGCATACAGTTACCCTCCAGCAGCTCTGTGCCATTCAGCCAACTCAACGCACTCTTTTTGGCTCTTCCAGCGCTGTCGCAAGATGAGAGACTACTTTTTCGTGATCGCATCAGCTTCCTGAGCCGAAAGCTGGCGCCAGGCTTCAGCAAGCTGCTGTGGACCGGCAAGGGTGCGGCGGAAGGCCTTTATTAAAGAGTCCCGGCAAGGCGCGGCCAAGGTAAAACATGTCGCTCACACGCACGTCCTCCCACTCAATCACCGAGCCGCATCCACACCCTCAACCACAGCCAGCCGTCCAGCATGCGTACTCACGCCAACGCCACCTGAACAACCGCGCCCACAACCCGCCTCACCCCTAGACTTACACCCACACCTACACTCTTACGCACATACACATCCACGACCGCGCCGACGCTTACGTACACGCACACGCACACATGCACCCACACTCATGCACACACGCACACGCGTACACGAGCATGCATACGGACATGCACATGCACTCACGCACGCATCTATCTACTTACGCACGCGCACACGTACCTAAGCGTCTCCCCTTGGATACGCTACGTGCACACCTACTTACACATACGCGTGCACGTCCTTCGCATACGCTTGCACGTACTTCGCTCACGTTTACGCAAACGATTATACGTACTTACACGTACTTACGCGTACGACATGACAGTACGTGACAGTGTGGTGGTGTACACGTGCGTTTACGCAAACGCGTATGCGTCCTTACACGTGCTTACGCGTAAGTACGTGTACGCGTATACGTATGCGCGTACGCCGTTACACCACCACACTGTCGCGTCCTGTCTTGTCGTACGCGATACGACAGTGCGCGTGGTGGTGTCCGCGTGCGTTTACGCAAACGCGTATGCGTCCCTACACGTACTTACGCGTAAGTACGTGTACGCGTATGCGTAGACGTACGTGTACGCGTACACCACCACATTATCACACACGCTGCCACACCCATACGTACACACCCACACACCCACACCCACGCATCCACACACCCACACCCACACACCCACCTACACCCACACCCACACCCACACCCACACCCACACCCACACCCACACCCACACCCACACCCACACCCACACCCACACCCACACCCACACCCACACCCACACCCACACCCACACCCACAACCCACACCCACACCCACACCCACACCCACAACCACACCACTCCACACGCACACACGCACACGCGCACGCACACAGGACACTACAAACACAGGACACGCGCACGCACACAGCACCCTGATGTGCCTTCCGCGGCTTGGCGTGAGACGAAGCTTCTAACGGCAGGCGATCGCCTCGTCCTCAGGTGCAGCGCATCGTCGACCACTACAAACTAGCCAACCGGCAGATCATGGAGAAGTGCATGGCGGTGGCGGAGTCCTGGCTCGTCGACATCGACACCAACCGCGTGTACACCTTCACGGAGCTTCAGGAGACGCAGGCGGAGCACAGGTGATGGGCGCATTTGCTAGTGCTGCCGACCCAGGATGTCTTAGTCTGTAAATCAGGGCATGGTCGGTGTGTTGGTTGAGCCGTTGATGCAGGCTTGGCCGTAGGGAAACGAAGTACTGCAACGCGAGTCGTAATGTTGGTCACACGTATTTTTTTCAGGAAGAAGACCTTGGAGCTACTTAAACAGGTGCAACAGGAGATCATAGAGATTCTTAGCACAATGTTCGAGTACTTCAAGAACGACTCGCAAACCGTAAGATATTTGATGGAGACAGCCTACCGACGTCCTGCGAGTTAGCTGCTACGCCAGGTGCAATGATTGACGGCCAAATACCAACACAGATATAACTGCTTACCTTTTGTGTCAGCAACGTAGAGGGGTACACAGAACGGGAACGTACCCATCATAATACCACCGCGATGCTGTCAGCATCCGAGCTCCAGCGGCGCTGCGCCACACCTGTCAGCAACGCGGCGCGAGCTTGTTTGCACATGTGCCATAAGTTCTTGTCAGAGGTCCACGTGCATCTTTTTCAGCTTCCTGTTGATCTCCCATTTGTTTCACTTGTCTCCTGACTTCCACCTCGTACATGGAAACCTTGAGCGGTATCCAGCTCGTCAAGATAATCCACGCGTGTCCGCCCAGGTCATCCAGCATTGGGGCAAGTACCTGGGACGCATCAGCCTGGCCCTACTGGAATCGATCCGGCACAACGTGCAGAAGTCTCTGACAGCGCTCAGCAAGATAATCAACGTGGACAGCAAGTCGGGGTCGGTGGCGCTCCTCAGCGTCAAGGTTCTGCTGGTGGAGAACAAGGTCGGTCTGGAGGCCGCCTGGGTCCCCATTACCCGGCGGGGCTTCTGCAGATCGGGCCCGACGGCGGCGCAGGCGCTGTGTCACTTCGGTTTTGATTTCGTCGTCATATTCGTATCTGCCATGCTCGTGAGCATTGTAGCCCACCTCTCGTCTGGGGTTTTAACAGCTGTGGTAGGATGCTTCACACTTAATAAGTGGGACTGACGTGAAAAACCAACATGTTCAATTGATTCCTCAAATGATAAGAAATGCACAACGATCGGGGCAGATTGGGCTGGGCTTGCACGCGTAGAATGCGTAATTGTCACTTATTACAGTCATTTTTGTTGAACACTAGTTTGCAGCTTCCAGGAAAAAAGCCACCAACAGCTCATTCTCCCAATCAACATCTTGCGGCTTAAGGAAACTGCATGAACACATTTAGTTTAAGTTAGCGCGAATTTGAAATTGCCAATAAGGCAATGGCTTCCAGTATTAGCGTACTGCCAATATTTGGGGTACGCTAGTATTGGCTTCCAATATTAGCGTACCCCGGATATTTAGCGTGTATATATATCTTGTTTTAAATATCAACCACGCATGTTTAGATGACGATCACAAAGTGTGACGCCTTTTCTTTCACGTAATCGCAATGAGGAAGTAATGGAGCTGTAGCTCAGCTTATCCCACCGATGTAACCATGCTTCCAATGTTAATAGGTTCATTTCTGTTTTAATGCCATTTTTTGGAAGTCAGCACACAAAATGGTCCATTTTGCCCAAGAATTCCATGGGCCGGGACCCGCTTAGCCCAGCGATGATTGCAGGAAACTGTCCCACGGGCACCGATGCAGAATGTAGCGTGCCTATTTATAGGGCGCGACCGGCCGCAGTTGCATAATACTGCAGAATCTCGACATGGAAAACAGCCGGTGTAAGGCAGCAGACATGTCGATGCATACAGGGCCTATAAATACAGCACCTTATCACGCATACGGAATAACAGATGCCTCCCTTCACTGAGCTCGGACACTTCAAGGTACTCAGGCGTTCGGCTAAGTGTTTTTAGTGGGGTGGTAGGAACCCTCACGATACGAAAGGAGGTAACCGGGCAGACCCTTGGGCATTGCTACTCTTACAAATCGCTTGGAAGGGGAAGGGGTAGGCACTTGGCGGAGGGATCTGTTTGCTTGGTGCCTTGGTAACACATCCAGATTTGATTGATTCAAACGGCGGTTCGTAGTGCGGGCAGTTTCATTCAGTGTAAGTGCATTTTGATCTGGAGGCCGGTAATAACATCACAGATTATGTCCTGTAAAATGGTCGCTATAGTATGAATAGTTTGTCACGGCTCACACATTAATCAGCACACAATAACAATATGTTGAGCCTGCAGATCACCAGTCCAACGTCCAACACAGTGGGAAGCACAATGCGCATGAATAAAAGTGCAACAGCTGACGCACACGCGGTACGCATATTTTGCACGATATCCTACCCTGACATGCGCAGCTCCGTTTATTTTAGCTTGCTTGTATGTTGGTTCGAACTCGGCCAGCTTTTCAATCAAGGGCTTTCTCGGAATGCAGTGACTTTTACGGTATCACATTGGTGGCAATTCGTCTGGGGATTATTGCAATTGATGCCTCCCCCTCCCTGCACACAACCGTGGGCGCGTACCACCGAGCGACCGCTACAGGCAGGCCGTATAAGGATGCGAGTCAACGTCAATCGAAATACAACGTGCAGCAAGCTGGTTAAACACTCATGTTCCGTGCTAGCGGACGGCCGCGTTTTTGCTGTTGTAAAATGGTACGTGCGCTCAAACATGAAGTGTTGTGAAGGCTTACTGCCATACCCGTGTTTCATACTGGGAACGTGGTGTTGCCAAATGACCGGCTTGACGACTATTGACGTGCTGGGTGAGCTCTATACCGACTGGCGCGCGAGCGTCCCCATTTGTGGGCCGCGGCAGTGCTGGAGTATGCTGCGCGGCAGATCGAGCTGGAGCCCAGCGTGGCGGAAATGGCCGAGCTGTTCTGCTCGTACATCCAGCTGATCGCCGCCGAATTTGAGTCGTGGCAGCACATCCCTGGGATGCTGGGCCACGAGGACCGCAACCCGCCGCAGGCGACCAACTCCATCATCATGACTGACGAGGACGCCAACAAGGTCCAGATGGCCATCAACAACGGTGCGTGTCATGCCAGCCCCGCGGCGCCGACCGCCGTCAGCCGCTGCACTCATTGTTGGCGGGCGTGTTGAGCACATTGTCTTCTGCTGGTTGGCTGACATCCAGGTTTGTCTCATAGCGTGGCATTGACAGTCTGGAGGTTCACTGCGAAGCTGGCATATTGCCGGCCTGCTTCCGCGTCATTGAACGTGGCCTGGCGTTTCCTAAGGGGATGCGTCAGATATTTGGGATGAATTTCGGTTATTATGGGCTGACTGTGATGCATGTTTGGTGAGCTAGAAATTCTTTCCCACGCAATAATCGACCAATGAAATAGGTATACAACTTGGATCCGACTTATCCTGAAAATAACAAATTGAGACGAGCAGTGGCACAGGAAAAATGTTATTGCAGTGTACGCGGTCCCCGGGAGCCTCGGCTGTCGACTAAGTGCCGTAGTTCTCATCTTCACACGGGTTGTGCCATCACAAGTGCCATCTTCACACGGGTTGGGCTCGCCAGGCATGGCCGTGGCTGCTGTCCAGCTGCAAAATTACCTGAAGACCTGGGACACGTTCCGCGACATATGGGAGATGGACAAAGACCTGTTCATCAAGCGCTACCATCGCATGAACCCGACTGTAGCGGCCTTCGACAGCGACATCGCCAGGTCAGTGCCTGCCAACAGCAACCGGCGGGCCCGGTAACCGAGAGCACCCCGATACCCCCAGCGCGTGTGTAAGTGTACACAAAGAGGCTACCGGCATACATTAACTTTAATTTTCTTATCATCTTTGAACTCATCTGACCCGTGAAATGCTTCGTTCAGAAGAGTTTAATGACGCAGTTCCAACGCAGCTCTAACGAGCTACCCAATCTCATACACCACTTTTGTTCAAGTAAAGCCCACTTGTCCTGCAGCCTTGTTTGTACTTTTTGGCTTGGGTATCATTACATTGACATGGCAGCACATTTTATACATCATTTTCATGCGATCTCATTTTCACCCGTGTGTTACAATTTGTATCGGTCTTCGTAACCTTCGTTCTCATTGGGTGGCACAGGTACTCTGAGGTTGCGAACAATGTGCAGATGCAGGACACGATCGTGGGCAGTCAATTTACGCTGCTGGACTGCGCCGGTCTGAAGCACGCCATCGTGTGTCACTGCACCGAGTGGCAGGAGAAGCTGACGGAGCTGCTGCGGCAGATCGCTTCCGACAGACTGGTCGAGGTGCATCAGTACATCGTCGACAATACCGCCGGGTGAGGACAGGTGCATCAGTGCACCATCGACAACATCGCCGGGTGAGGACAGGTGCATCAGTACATCGTCGACAGCACCGCCGGGTGAGGACAGACGCATCAGTACATCGTCGACAACGCCACCGGGTGAGGACAGGTCCATCAGTGCATCATCGACAACACCGCCGGGTGAGGACAGGTGCATCAGTACATCGTCGACAACACCGCCGGGTGAGGACAGGCGCATCAGTACGTCATCGGCAATGCTGTGCAGTGAAGGCGGGTATGCAGATGTCAGCGGATTGTTGAGATGACCGGGACGGCTCTGGCTGTAGTAAGTCCTGAGGCCGCGCCCGTGACACGGATTGTTGAGATGACCGGGACGGCTCTGGCTGTAGTGAGTCCTGAGGCCGCGCCCGTGACACGGATTGTTGAGATGACCGGGACGGCTCTGGCTGTAGTAAGTCCTGAGGCCGCGCCCGTGGCACGGATTGTTGAGATGACCGGGACGGCTCTGGCTGTAGTGAGTCCTGAGGCCGCGCCCGTGACACGGATTGTTGAGATGACCGGGACGGCTCTGGCTGTAGTGAGTCCTGAGGGCGCGTCCGTGACACGGACTGTTAAGATGACCGGGACGGCGCTGGCTGTAGTGAGTCCTGAGGGCGCGTCCGTGACACGGACTGTTGAGATGACCGGGACGGCTCTGGCTGTAGTGAGTCCTGAGGGCGCGTCCGTGACACGGACTGTTGAGATGACCGGGACGGCGCTGGCTGTAGTGAGTCCTGAGGGCGCGTCCGTGACACGGACTGTTGAGATGACCGGGACGGCTCTGGCTGTAGTGAGTCCTGAGGGCGCGCCCGTGACACGGACTGTTGAGATGACCAGGACGGCTCTGGCTGTAGTGAGTCCTGAGGCCGCGTCCGTGACACGGACTGTTGAGATGACCGGGACGGCTCTGGCTGTAGTGAGTCCTGAGGGCCGCGCCCGTGACACGGATTGTTGAGATGACCAGGACGGCTCTGGCTGTAGTGAGTCCTGAGGGCGCGTCCGTGACACGGATTGTTGAGATGACCAGGACGGCTCTGGCTGTAGTGAGTCCTGAGGCCGCGCCCGTGACACGGATTGTTGAGATGACCGGGACGGCTCTGGCTGTAGTGAGTCCTGAGGCCGCGCCCGTGACACGGATTGTTGAGATGACCGGGACGGCTCTGGCTGTAGTGAGTCCTGAGGCCGCGCCCGTGACACGGATTGTTGAGATGACCAGGACGGCTCTGGCTGTAGTGAGTCCTGAGGCCGCGCCCGTGACACGGATTGTTGAGATGACCAGGACGGCTCTGGCTGTAGTGAGTCCTGAGGCCGCGCCCGTGACACGGATTGTTGAGATGACCAGGACGGCTCTGGCTGTAGTGAGTCCTGAGGCCGCGCCCGTGACACGGATTGTTGAGATGACCAGGACGGCTCTGGCTGTAGTGAGTCCTGAGGGCGCGTCCGTGACACGGACTGTTGAGATGACCGGGACGGCTCTGGCTGTAGTGAGTCCTGAGGCCGCGCCCGTGACACGGATTGTTGAGATGACCAGGACGGCTCTGGCTGTAGTGAGTCCTGAGGCCGTGTCTGTGACACGGACTGTTGAGATGACCGGGACGGCGCTGGCTGTAGTGAGTCCTGAGGGCGCGCCCGTGACACGGACTGTTGAGATGACCAGGACGGCTCTGGCTGTAGTGAGTCCTGAGGCCGTGTCTGTGACACGGACTGTTGAGATGACCGGGACGGCGCTGGCTGTAGTGAGTCCTGAGGGCGCGCCCGTGACACGGACTGTTGAGATGACCAGGACGGCTCTGGCTGTAGTGAGTCCTGAGGGCGCGTCCGTGACACGGACTGTTGAGATGACCGGGACGGCTCTGGCTGTAGTGAGTCCTGAGGCCGTGTCTGTGACACGGACTGTTGAGATGACCGGGACGGCTCTAGCTGTAGTGAGTCCTGAGGCCGTGTCTGTGACACGGACTGTTGAGATGTCCAGGACGGCTCTAGCTGTAGTGAGTCCTGAGGCCGTGTCTGTGACACGGACTGTTGAGATGACCAGGACGGCTCTAGCTGTAGTGAGTCCTGAGGCCGTGTCTGTGACACGGACTGTTGAGATGACCAGGACGGCTCTGGCTGTAGTGAGTCCTGAGGGCGCGTCCGTGACACGGACTGTTGAGATGACCAGGACGGCTCTGGCTGTAGTGAGTCCTGAGGGCGCGTCCGTGACACGGACTGTTGAGATGACCAGGACGGCTCTGGCTGTAGTGAGTCCTGAGGCCGTGTCTGTGACACGGACTGTTGAGATGACCGGGACGGCTCTAGCTGTAGTGAGTCCTGAGGGCGCGTCCGTGACACGGACTGTTGAGATGGCCGGGACGGCTCTGGCTGTAGTGAGTCCTGAGGCCGTGTCTGTGACACGGACTGTTGAGATGACCGGGACGGCGCTGGCTGTAGTGAGCCCTGAGGGCGCGTCCGTGACACGGACTGTTGAGATGACCGGGACGGCTCTGGCTGTAGTGAGTCCTGAGGGCGCGTCCGTGACACGGATTGTTGAGATGACCGGGACGGCTCTAGCTGTAGTGAGTCCTGAGGGCGCGTCCGTGACACGGATTGTTGAGATGACCGGGACGGCTCTGGCTGTAGTGAGTCCTGAGGGCGCGTCCGTGACACGGATTGTTGAGATGACCGGGACGGCTCTGGCTGTAGTGAGTCCTGAGGGCGCGCCCGTGACACGGACTGTTGAGATGACCGGGACGGCGCTGGCTGTAGTGAGTCCTGAGGGCGCGTCCGTGACACGGACTGTTGAGATGACCGGGACGGCTCTCGCTGTAGTGAGTACTGAGGGCGCGTCCGTGACACGGACTGTTGAGATGACCGGGACGGCTCTAGCTGTAGTGAGTCCTGAGGGCGCGTCCGTGACACGGACTGTTGAGATGACCGGGACGGCTCTGGCTGTAGTGAGTCCTGAGGGCGCGTCCGTGACACGGACTGTTGAGATGACAGGGACGGCTCTAGCTGTAGTGAGTCCTGAGGGCGCGTCCGTGACACGGACTATTGAGATGACCGGGACGGCTCTGGCTGTAGTGAGTACTGAGGGCGCGCCGTGACACGGGCTGTTGAGATGACAGGGACGGCTCTAGCTGTAGTGAGTCCTGAGGGCGCGTCCGTGACGCCCCCGGTCCCTGGGCGACGCTGACATCCCTCGCTCTTTCGGCCAGGATGAAGTACGTACCGCAGAGCCTAGTGGAGCTGCAGGAGAGTATCAACCTGCATGAGCGACTGCTGCACGAGCGGCCAGAACTGGAGAAGACGTTCCCCACCACGGAGGAACAGTTTGTTGTTCTTGGTACGCGCGCCCAGCCCCGTCGGGCTGTCGAGGATCATCCATGATGTTAAGGGCTGCTTTTGCGACGACTAAAAGCATCGTTTCCTTTATAGATGTCACTTCCTTTTTATACTTTTCCGAAAACCGAGTATAATCTGATTATTGTATAATCGGAGCTATTAACGCGATATCACGAAACTAACTTCAGGAATACTCGCCATGCTCACAACATCTCCAACTTGATGTCGTGCTGTATGTAATTACACCGGCAAATGCACATTTGTTGTCATAACGTTGAGCACGTAAACGTATGACTTTACAAAAGCAATCCAATATTATTAACGGAACCAAGTCTTGCGATATACATACCAATCGGGGTTCGAAGCGTAGGTAGCAATTTTCTTTTGATATTTTGCTTTATTGTGACCAGTGTGAATGGCGACATGGCACGGTCGTATTGCTGATAAATCGCATTGTTCATCTGATAAACACTATGCATCAGCAAATGTATTATCTTTACAAATTCGTCCACTCAAAAGGTGTTGATTAATCTAATTAGTTGCGTTACAGTAGCATTTGAATCACGGCAATGATGGCTGATGACTTGACTGGATGTTGTGATATGCCGCAGACAAGTACGAGGTAGCCGTAGATGAGGCAGTGCTGGAGGACCTACGACGCCTGCCGCCAGTCTGGGAGGCCTACTGTGACCTGCTCCTCGAGACCGCCGACACGTTGGAGCAGCACAAGGACAGGTTCCGGACAGGTGCGCGGACGGCCACGCTGCCGTGACTACTTCACGTCTCACATTATAGTATGCCCATTGAAGTGCATGTTTCACATTACTCATACCAGCAAAGAAGCCAAAACCAACATCCAGCCACACACCAGCAGGGTATTGCTGGGTTTATGTTGTTGCGGTGGGCGGCCCGAGCCGGACCCTAATCCCCTGTTCCATTCAAATGAACAGCCCGGGCTGAACGGCCGTGGACCCGAGCCAGGTTTGTTTAGTGTCTGGTCAGTCCGTGGCGAATACCCCTGCACGTCTTAGGCATAGCAGACTTATCCGATCTTCCTTCAATGTAACGGTCCTCGGAAAGGGAGCTGTGTAAGACCACGATAGCATGCAATGCACCGTTGCGTAATGTTGCAGCACGCCTCGCCCTATGAAGAACAGTAACAACAGTTAAGTACCGTTCCTTGGGGGTGTCTGTTAGTGATCTGGTAACATCTCTTCTCTTTTGACAGGTCTTCTGGCCGACGCTAATGATCTGAAGAAGAACATATCCAATTTCATTGCTGAGTTCAAGCAGAAGGGTCCGTTTACAGACGCGTGGGAGGTCCCTGGTGAGTGCTGAAGGCGTACAGACGCCACAGCATATCATAATAAGAGGCCACAATTGCTCAGAAGTGTTGTCATCAACGATGTTGCTTCTTCGATGCCGCGTAGCTCCATCATTTACCAATGGCAGAGCAAGCCTTTAATTGGAGATATGAGATTTTGTGTTTACGTAGGGCAATCTCGTGCGGTGTCTACAATCGGCAGCCTTTGCAAGTCGAACCGAATGACGCGTCGAGGCCCAACTGGCACACGATGCAAGTGCGCACGTGGCGGTGAGCGGGGACTGATCAGGTCAATCATGTGCAGTCAGGGATGTGTGTGTGCTCATGAGGCACGATGACATTCTTACACGGGTGTGCTCGGCGCGGAACTAAGGATGTTGACTTAACGCCAATTCCTTAAATTGTAGGCGAAAGTTGGTGCCATGACGTGATGGTGGGGCTATCCTGTTTCTGACCATTGTAGCTTGACAAGATGGAGTGTTCACGGGTTATAGCCTCGAGCATGTCTGTGAAATCGCAGAACGCCCTGTAGCGCATGAGTCATACATCGCGAAACTTGACAAAAATTGTTCACTCTCTGCTTTTAATATTTATTTCCTCCATTCGCACTAATACCAGTGGAGTGGCCTCGTTGCCTAGTGTCACATATGTAGACCCATAATCCTATGCAAATACTTTACTTGACCATCCATAGTTTGGATTACGACATCTAGTTAAGATTGTAGCAATGGCAAAGCATTTATATTTTGACTGAAGTACTCAAACATGACGACTGAATCAGCATTTGTTATCCATTTTCCTCTTTAACCTTGCGCCAGACGTGAATGCGATGGAACGTTTGTACTTTTTTTTTTTGCAAAATGTCTGTTCATTGCCCGCCGTATGAAGGAGAGGCTCCATAGCCCGTCACCCTGAGGCTTTGCTGGGCTTATTTCCGATGGCTTTGAGCACGGTGCTGAAATTGTGGTTACCTGTGTTGATATCGTTTCACACATGATGTGAGGATTTGAACAGCCGCGGCCACCGACAGCGCTGCCACCGCCACGGCCCCCACCCACTGTCACCACCACGGTGGCTACCACAGCCGCGGCCACCGACAGCGCTGTCACCGCCACGGCCCCCACCCGCTGTCACCGCCACGGCTCGCACCCCTACCACAGCCGCGGCCACCGACAGCGCTGTCACCGCCACGGCCCCCACGCGCCGTCTCCGCCGCGTCAGCTATGGGCGATAATTTTATGTGTGATTTTAATCCGAACTATGGTCCATCCCGCAGCGCGTGCAAAAAAAGCATAAACCTAACCTCAGTGGCAGGGACTGTCATCCAAACAAGAAAATGGCTCAAAACGTCATAAATTTGAAGACAAAAAGGGAAAGAAGAAAGCAATAATGTACAAAATAGATGGACAGCGCGTGTCGCGGCCGAATGCCTCCCGTTCGTCTGTGGTTGTCAGAACGACCAGACCCAGTGGCGCAAGCAGCCGTGACTTGCGGGTGGGGCGCGACCAGGATTTAAATATCATTCAGTATCACTCACCCCACCCGTGAATACAATGTGTGATATATAAAGCAGCACAGAGCATGAGCCATTGAGCTAATTGGCGCCCAGCGACTCCTTGACGGTATCTACAGCACCAGTGCATCCCGCACCGGCCGGGGCAGGGAAAGCCCAGGAAAGCCAGCTCTTGTGACACCCAGGTGGGGAAGGCCGGCCCAGGGGTCATGCCCTGCCGGTCGTCGCCCACTGGTGCGTGTTGTCACGCTAACGTGGCTTCGCGTGTCCCCAGCCGCCCGAGAGAGCATTGCCGAGTATGGCGCTCAGTCAGACGTGTTCAAGGAAAAGGACTTGGAGATCAAGGCCGGCCTTAAGATCTTCAACATCGAGCACGCACTCTCCAAAGATCTGAAGCGATTCGACTTGGTAACGCAAACGGCACTGTTGGCGTGTTGACATGCATGCGTGCGTGGGAGGGTGCGTCTGCGTGTGTGCGCATGCATTCGTGCATGTCTGCGTGTATACGCGTACGTGCGTGCGTATTTGTGTTGGAACTGTAACTGTAAGACTGAAGGCTGCTGGGGGCGTTGACTCGGATCAATCACTGCCAAATTAGGAGACGCTGTCTCGCCGCAGTTTCGCCGCACCAATAAAGCACTTTCGGTCATCCTCGCCACTGAACAGTCCTTGACGGCTGTGAGGTAGCTCTTGTGTTGTGTGATACTCTTGTGTTTTAGTGATAAGTTGGCTGTGTAGTTTTCATGCTTGCAGACAATGGCAGTGTTGCTGTGCTGTGTTGCGAACGATTGCTGTATACTCTGAGCCGCTCCTTCGTAGTTAATCATCAGCGTGTGAGCAGCGTTTCGCGGTGCTGGCATGTCCCGCTCCGCTCCTCTGTCCCTGCGATGGCGGGCTACAGTCGGCGCGGGCCCAGTGGTCACAGGTGGTGTGACGGCGAAGCCGTGGTCTGCTGGCAGGACCTGGAAGCGATAGACTCCGTGTGGGCGCTGACCGCCGAGTGGGAGCAGTCCTGGAGCCAGTGGAAGCTGCTGAAGTTCCAGGAGCTCGACACCATTGAGCTGGATTCCCAGGTGCGGTCCGGCACTACACTGTCCGACGAGAACAGAACCAGGTCAAGCTGCGCCCACTGTACTGGCAGGGGGGTTAGAGTGATCGTGGTCCTGAGCTGAAACATGACTGGCTGCTATGCTTCACTGACCTCGACAGATCAAAGTTAGGCGGTAGGGTTTTTGATACCAATAATTGCGTTTTGGTCCCGGGCAATTACACGTCATCGTCGTACCCAAAGTTTCATTTGCATTCAGATGAGGAAACGCAGACTACCATATTTAAGTGGTTGCATTAAAATGGAAGGCATATTAAGGTGGTTGCAATAGGACGTCTGCGGCACATCTGACACCGAACTGAAGTTTGATGTTGTCTGGCCCTATATGACACAAAGTTCAGACCTTGGGGCCTCAGAATGTGACACAATTAAATTCACATCAAAGCCTCCCTTCACTGTGAATTCGATGCCTGGCATTTGCAGTATGAGATCTCAGGGGGGGGGGGGGGTGGGGGCACATTGACCCACCACCCGAGTGCCCGTCGCTCGGAGCCGGCGATCTGGGCGCCCGTTTAATACATAAAAACTTCTAATGAACTGAACCGCCGCGCGAAAAGAATACTTGTGTGTGGCACAGACGTTGTGCGAGTGCATCAATGCCTCGGGGTCATGCATCGGAGTGGTTTGTCCACCCCGCACATGATATACACTTTCGTATTAGTGGTCATATAGTGTTTCTAGCGTCGTAAGCATTGTGCGTTGGAGCTAGTAATCGTTACGATCTAGGCCGGGAGCCCGACCAAGGTCGGGACGGTTCCTTATCTGCGTGCTGCGGAAATACGTCATGAGAATTGGAAAAGGTTATCGTGAGGTGGTTGGTAAGTGGATGCTCACCATGCAGCTCCATCCCCCCAGGCCACGAGCGTGCACAAGCGCTTTACAAAACAGCTGAAGGAGTTCCGTGACAATGGCTGGGACATCATCGAACAGAGCAAGGCACGTGTGGACGCCTTCCGCCGTGCGCTGCCACTCATTATGGACCTGAAGAACGCGGCGCTGCGGCCCCGTCACTGGGAGGAGATCCGGCTCCTCATCGGCAGGTAACCGATGGACCGGGGTGCTGCCTCTCGTCAGTGACGTTAGGAGCGTGACACTGCGGCCCGACACTGAGAGGAGATCCGGCTCCTCATCGGCAGGTAACCGATGGACCGGGGTGTGCTGCCTCTCGTCAGTGACGTTAGGAGCGTGACACTGCGGCCCGATCCTGGGAGGGGATCAGGCTCCTCACTCGGCAGGTAACTGATGGACCGGGGTTGCCGCTTCTCGTCAGTGACGTTAGGAGCGTGGCACTGCGGTCCCGTCACTGGGAGGAGATCCGACTCCTCATCGGCAGGTAACCGATGGACCGGGGTGCCGCTTCTCGTCAGTGACGTTAGGAGCGTGGCACTGCGGGGCCCGTCACTGGGAGAAGATCCGGCTCCCTCATCGGCAGGTAACCGATTGGACCGGGGTGACCGCTTCTCGTCAGTGACGTTAGGAGCGTGGCACTGCGGCCCCGACATTGAGAGGAGATCCGGCTCCTCATCGACAAACGGAGCAGCATGACAGAGCCAGCTCAAGGACGGCCAGGTGGTCGTCACCTCGCTTGTGCGCTCAGGCTGAACAGCGGCACCGGGCGGTATCGGCTACCATTGCTAAAGCGTAACGAACAGCTCCACCATACCATAGCAGTCGGCCTCACATTTGGTTAACAAACAGCTCCACCATACCATGGCAGACGGCCTCACATTTGGTTAACAAACAGCTCCACCATACCATGGCAATCGGCCTCAAATTTGGTTAAGTCGATGCTATAGCCAGAGAGCTGGCCTGGAGGATAGCATGCAGCTGGATGCGTAGCCTCTCGTCGACCCAGATGATTGATGTGAACTTGCACTTCGCGCTCCGAATCGCACATCAAGCTGTGTCTGTAGTTGCATGGTCCCGCCCTCGTCCTGCCTGTTCTACATACATGTGCATCTTCTCCCCAAGAACGTGCCTGGATTAATGCTGTCGAGAGTGGAGCAGGATAGCGGTCTCTGCCACATTCTACCGACCGCTATAGCTGGAATGCTACTGCGAGTTCACCGAAGCTGCTCGGAGCGAATATAAGACTTTATGGAGTCGCCTGCCTTTTACCCTGGCAAGAAGGGCGGGCGCCGCACTCACCGGACCGGATATCGAACCGGATAATCAAATCGAATTATTCGAGGTGCTCATGGCCCCAATGGAAACCATGACCCACCAACATCGGCGTGCTATGGTCAATATTTGATGTTTTACACGTGTCCTATTGGCCATAACCGAAGCCAAAACTTTGGTGCCTTTGGTTACTCCCTTGTTGATCAGTGAGCAGGTTATTTCAAGTACATCAGTGGGTAATAAGGCCTTATGAAATATGCAGCATCAACATAGAAATGACGTTTGATTTCGGCGCAAATGGACCCACACCGGTCTGTCCCCAGCCGTTGACTTAATTTTGTTTGGTACATCTGGCCCATGGTGCCTTAGAAGGTGATCCGGGTCCCCACCGGTAGGCAACTGTCCCATCTCACCTTACGAGCGTCGCGAGCAGGAAGGTCAAGAATAACCCTACTGCCCTCGGCGTCTTCTGAGCGATAGAATGTCTGTAAGGCGTGTCATATTCATGTTCATGTTTACGTAATATATGGCTGCTTGCAAGACTTGTGAAACAGAGACACGATGCAGCAGGGAGTTCGACGAGAAGGTCGATCTGACCATAACACGATGCCGCAGGGAGTTCGACGAGAAGGTCGATCTGACCATAACACGGTGCCGCAGGGAGTTCGACGAGAAGGTCGATCTAACCATGGATACCATCTTCGAATGGGGCATGGACCAGTTTGCGGACGAGATACACAACATCTCTCAGTCCGCAACGAAAGAAATGACCATCGAAAAGGTGAGCCGCCACTCTTGAGCAATAGGAATATCTGATGTCTTTACTACGGCTGCAAATTGATTGCATCCTTATTGGTTACGGATGTCGCTGTCTGACGTCTAAATGTTCTCCGTATATTCTCTATCTTGCACTTCGTGTTTGCCGATATTTTACCATTTTTCTTAGCTTAATATCGAACATTTACGCACACTTACAAAACTCACCATCATGAGTGCTCTTGTGCCCGTTATGCAGTATTGAATGATGAGCTTTTGAATGCGGATAGTGAGATCACATAGAGAACCTAACATAGGGTAACCATCGAGCATGTAATTCATTGTTTGGTCAGATGCCCACGAAGCTGCTTGTCAATATCGGTGGGCCCCGCCCCCTCCCCTACGCTCACTGACACATCTGGATTTTGTATATTAGCTAATATTTACTTGGTGTATTTTCTTTGATAATCATCATCTTCAGTAGTTCAGTAGTTCATCGACCTCATGCTCACGACGGCGTGCGCTTGTAGCACATATTTTCAACCGTCCTATGGTCGATAGAAATCCTGTTCAAAGCTGGGTTCATCGTGCACTGCATGCACGCGGCTGGATCGTATCACGTTGGTTTTCCCTACGACGATAGGTACTCCAATTTTTGTTATAACCATTTGAGGACCGTATGGTATTTCCTCAGCGGAATTCTTGTTTGTTTGGTACAGACCTGCCGCAGTGCGCACCATCCGCTCCGTTATGCAGATCATTATGATTTCCGACCTGCCTTACCCCTTGTTTTGCAAAATGATTCGTTTCGCAAGTTAGCTATGGTCTCAGAC